TAACTAAACCACTCCTGAAGTTTCTTCATCAGCACATTTCACTGTATCGCCCTCTGGTCATTCCTCTCGGTTGAGTTGTGTTGTTCTTCTGACACAGGCTGAGAGTCTTTCCCAGTAAATGTAGGAGGAGATATTGTGCAAGGATTCAGCTGGTAAGGCAAGCCCGGATCTGCCACACACTGTTGAGGAATTTTACATTTTCACCCAGTCTCCTTTAGTAACCTTTGATGTCCATGAAAAACATAAGAAAAACTTTAATTACAGCAAAAGTCATATTTCACTGATATCCAGAGGTGTGGTGTTAGTTACGCTACAGTTTAAAGACATTATGTTTCACTAGAACATCCTGTGTGTTTAGGGACATTGAATTTAACATTTTAGAGTGTGTGTGTGTTGACACAAAGCTTTTCTCTTTTACAGGAGTGCATATATGACTGTATATTAACGTCATGGCATCTCCACAGTCTCTTAACCCTCCTGAAAAAGGTTAGTACATGGATCATGCTGCTTATTGTTTTCTGGATGTATTAGATCTTTAAAATGTAATTAACATCAATTGATTAATTAAAAGAGAGAGGACCCCTGCAGACCAAGTTATTTTAATATTATTTATATGCTATTGTAGCATTTATTTATATTTTGAATTAATTTATTTGATATTTTTAGGTTTAATTTTAATTTTACTTTGTTTTAGTAATGTATCATTTTTAGTTTTTGAAATTGTATCGCTTTAACGTTAGTATGTTTAGTGCTTTCATTTGAATTAAGTTATTTTATTTTATTCAATTATCAAAAACACTTTATTAGTTTTAGTTAACAATAAGTCTCTTAAAATATGAAATCATTTGACCTTTTTATAATAAGGTAAGGTTAGTTCATGTTGTAAGGTGCGAATCCCCCAAAAAAGGTATTTATGAATTAATCATTTATAATTATATTTACCATTTGTTTCATCTGAACATTATGATTGAGATGTGTACACTAACATTTATTCAAGGTGTAAGGAAAATTACTTTATTACATGTACATTTAAACACTTTAAGCACTTAAAAAGACTTTGTTAATCATTACACCAAATTAAATTTTTTATTAAACTTTTTAAAACTTTTGTTAAAATGGTATACAAGTTTTCAAAACCATATGAAATCAACATGAATACATTAGGAACTTGACACCTGCGTTTTAAACTAGATTTGTAGCAGATTTTCTGTATTGTGGACACTCTTATACGTCATTAACCCACATACTATGATTCAAATTCAAATCTTCCGAGCCCAGTGGGGCTTAGTCATGATTTGCTAGTCCTGCCAAGATGTTTGAGGAGGTGCGCCATGTGACATCATTGTTCACTGCACTCTGGTATAAACAAGGCCCAAACAAAGGGTAGCTGTGCATGACACATTAGGGTGCGCACTTTTCAAAAAAAGAGAAACCATAATGACAGCGTATGAGCTGTTAATGACCCATGCACGTCACCTGTTCTGGTATATTACAGAACAGTACGGTGCGTAAAACTCTGAAACAGTTACCCAGTTGAGGGAATACTGCATTACCCTCTTAATCTCCAGAGAGCTTGTGAAACTGCTTGAGGGCTCGGCAGTGCTCAAGGTAACTGACCATATGCTGCAGCTGAGCAATTCTTCCACCATATGCCACCTGCTCTTGACACACAACTATTCTGCAGCCATGGAGACTGCTTGCATGAGACAGTCGCTTAAATTTCTAGTTTCACCCAAAATCTACCTGGCTGGGTCTAAGAGGTTCTCGTACTTTTGCTGGAGTGAGGCGGATGAAGACAAGAACCATGGTAAATGTTGTTTTGTTGGTTTAGTGATTGTTGAAGGGAATAGAGCGCCTGAGCACTGCATGATTACTGACCTTTAGAGCCATTTTCAAGTCATCTGAGCTTATATTGACTTGAGTAACTGATTTGTGTTATTTTATAAGGTAAATGTGCAGCATTGGGGGGAACTTAAATCAGAGAAATTTCAAACAAAGAAGTGTGAGCATAGAAATTTCTCCTTTGTTGCTGATTTTCTCAACCCACTTTCTAAGAGCAAGTGAAAACATTTACTAGTATGAAGTACTTTCAGTATTCTCTATAGAGACCATATGGTCACATGTGTAATCCTTCTCATCACATGATCGGTTTTTCTCCGTCCAGTGCAGAAGAGTCTGTAATCTCTATTCCTGTGCTTTGGCTTCTTTGCAAAATGTAACGTTCCAACAGCTGTTTAGAAATTGCCATAAAGTGATGTCATGTTTTGCTGCTTAACTTGACTCTGTAGTTTACAACAAAAGTTATATGCTGTCATTACTCTATTACTTTTGGATTCAACAACTCACTCACACTCCTACTTTTGGTGCATGTAATAGATTGTTTTCATCTGTATTATTTTGTCCATCTGTTCAATGTTTGTGGTATGTGTTATCAGAGGGAGGGCATTTTGGCTTTTAGCTTGTGAGTTTTGGGTGTTTTTCCGAACAAATCTGATGACTCACAAAGGGTTTTGTCTCCAATGGTATGGTCAAAACAGATTTTTGAGCCTCTTCTTTGTAACTGCTTAGATACAGAATGTGCACTGAATCATAAAGACCTAATGTTTTGTTTGTTGTGTTTATGCTTCTATGCGAAATTGCATTATGCATGCTGATTCAGAATGTTTCACTGCAATCAGTCCACAGCAGGCAGGTCCTAGGGCTTCAACTGTGGCTTAGTGGTTACACTGATAAACACAATGCTCATAAAATAAAATAGATATACAGGGTTATTCTTTATTCTTAAAATCTATTTTAATAATATTTCCAAATCCACATTTGTAGTAATGTCAATGAGGCTTAGGATTTGGTTCTTTTTTTGAAGAAACAGCCAGAATAACCTAGTAATTACATAGCAGTGCTTAAAAAATACTCAGATCACACTATCAAATAAAAACTCAAACAGTCTCTCAGAGCATGCTATCAACTACATAGCAATGCTTAAAGGGGTCCTATTATGCTTTTTTACAAAGTCTTGATTTTGTTTTGGGGGTGTACTAGAACATGCTCTCATGCTTGGTGGTTCGAAAAAAGCATTATTTTTCACATAATTTACATTATTAAAATACCTTTCTCCCCAGCCTGGCACAAACGGCTCGATTAGTTCCGGCTTTGATGAAGGTCCGCCTTCCGAGAAACAAAATGTGTTGTGATTGGTTAGCTGTCCCAGTGCGTTGTGATTGGCGAACAGCTTAGACGGTGTTTCAGTACTGCCATGCCCATTGCTCTGTCTTTCAACAAAAGCTTTTTGGCGAATCCTGTACTCCCTCGTGTTGTGAAAGCTGTCCTCAGTAAAATGCGCAGCACACAATAGCAAATTGGGGTTATAATGCTCAGGAACAGAGTTAAAAAATAAATTGCAACCACTGTTTCCTGACATCATCCGCTTTCGGAAGCCCAATCAAAGACGTTTGTGCACGGAGGTGAAAAAAACAGCGTTTCAGGCGGTCGCACACTGGACGAGAAGCACAGCGTCGCGCCACGTCTTTAGAATTCAAATACATTATTTTCTATGAGTGTAGGCACACTGGCGGCGCCGTTTGGCGTCTGTCCGCGGCGCCCAGCTATGTCGTGTTGTACTTGTAAGAATTGTTCTAGACATGCCGAAAATTTGACACTACAGCACAGTAGCTCTTCTTCGTTTTCTCTGATTACACTAACTCCGCAGCAGCACTTCTTCTTCGTCGTCTCGTTTGATGCACTCACTCAACCAAGCGTTCTAACCACAGATGCGCTCACTCAACCAAGCGCTCTAACCACGACCTCGCCCCTCCCCACCGCCCAACCATTCCAATCTCTGTAGGCGGGAATTATTTGTAATGATATTCCAATAAGCCACTTTGTGATATCACAAAGCCCGGAAAACAAACGCTGTAGTCCAAACAAGCTGTTGTAGTTCATGAAAAGGGATTTTTTTTAAAAACTAAATATATCCCTTTGGAGTGGACTTTGGAGATTTGTAACTTTCTAGATATTTTTTTATGCCCAAACATACACACTACACACTGACTAAAATGAAAAAAGTGAAAAAGCATAATAGGACCCCTTTAAACAACCAGTCAGAACACCATCACCACACTCAAACAACTGTTCAGAACAACCACTCAGAGAAACTTAAGGCTGGAATACACAACACTTTTAAAATCTGAACAGATAAAAAAAATATATATATTAAAAAATAAAAAACTGGGCATCATACACTTACTGACTTTGTAAATAGTCACAGATAAAAAAACTGACCATCATACACTAAAAGATTGAGGATCATACACAACCAGAGTTAAAAGTTGTTCGGATCACAACAAACTCGCTCAGACCATCTTGTCAATCCCATAGCAATGCTTAAACAACTACTCTGAACAAGCTAGCAATTGCATAGTAATGCTCAAAAAACAACTCTGCAATGTTCAAACAGCCTCCCCCCCCCCAGAGCACCCTATAGCAACACTCAAAAACACTCAGAACTTCCTTTCAATCACCTAGCAGTGCACAAACAACCACTTAGAACACCCTAGCAACAATCAGAACATCTTAGCAATCCCATAGCAACGCTTAAACAACACTTAGAACATGCCAGCAACTGCACAGTAATGCTCAAACAACCACTCAGAACAACATAGCAATGCTTAAACAGCCACCCAGAACACCTTAGCAGCTACCTAGCAAACACTCCAAAAAAAAAAAAAACACTCAAAACTCCCTTTCAATCTCTGAACACAACCACATAGTAACACTCAAATAACCACCCAGAACACAGTAGCAACCATAAATATATATACATAGATGCCAGAAGTCGTCTGCCGTATTAGACTAGTCAAAGCTGCTTCATGAACACTCCGTTGTATTGTGTGTCTTCATTCGTAGTTATACGCATGTATGCAATCAGTCCATAGCTTTTTACAGTTCATAGGTTTACAATCACAGGCTGTGCAATTTTGTGGCATCTTGGAAAACTTGTTTTTTACTGTGAGTGATGATGTGTTGACTTTTCCAAGATGGCGGATGCGTCAATGTCTCTGGAGTGGTCAAATGTGGCATCTGAGCATTCAGAGAATACTAATTGTAGCACTGCCACAAATGCACTTTATTGTCAAGCTGTGAAACATGTCGCACACCATAATCAGCAGGCAGTAATCGGAGGGACCCCTGCTGGTCTGGAGGACCAAAATATCCCCACACATCCTCGCACAACATACCCAGGTTGGTCTGCGGTATGTGTTAGTCTAGTCACATAGTTTTTATGTATATTGTATATAAGATCACCTCACTGATTCATGAAACATGGGATAAAACTAATTTTTGCAACTTATTTTGTCCCTGCACCCAAGAATCGGTGATCTGTTTGTTAGAAAATTAAAAATTAAACATACGTTCTGTTCTCCCTGCAGAGATGGTGGCAAGACAATCTCCTGATGGGTAAGAATGTTTGTGTGACAGATTTACACCTTATGTGTTACGCCTCAAACATTTTCCACTTTAACATCTTGATCCTTATTATTCCTACAGGATGTCATTCATAGAGACATCATAAATCTTTATTGGCTTACTGTTTGAGGTGTTTGTCGCCCAAAGGACTCTATTATCCATTGTGTCTTAGCTGAATAGTCTTATGGTTGAATATTTACCTTTTATGTGAACACATTTCCTACTGTATTAGTTATTAAACTACTAGCTCTGGCTCTAGTGACATCTAGTGGGAATGTGATGTGACCATTGCACACAGTGACTGATTTTTTTTGCATTGATGTTTTGTTTTAGGAGTTCCATCTCGGCCGAGCCTCAAGTAGCAGATGAACAAGCAAGCTTTTGGAAAAGAAATAACATTTATGAAGGTATTATACTTATAGAATATCTCTAGTGTTTGTGGTTATAAATTTTGTGAGATGAATCTATTTAAAGCAGTCTACTTGGATTAGATGGACGTCCCAAATTGTGTCACTCCCAGAGTCAAAATACCCAGCCGGCTAGTGACTGACCGTCAGCATTGAAACGTGGTTGAAATAATGCAAGTTCTTGTTTCAATGTTGAAAATATATTGAAACAGTGTTGAAAATGTTGAAAAAAGGCTGACACAAAGTTGTTGAAAAATTCGAACAACATTGAAACAACTTTTAATGGTTGTTGTAAAAAGGTTAACAAAATACTTATAAATCAATTATGAAATTTTCACTTCATAAATGTAAGATGATGATACAACGTTGCAATATCAATGCTGATTCCCAAAATTTGTCACTCCCAGTGTCCAAACACCCAGCCAACTAGTGACTGACCTTTAATGTTGAAATGCGGTTAAAATAATGTCAGTTGTTGTTTCAATGTTGAAACTGTGTTGGAAATGTTGAAACAACGTTTAATGCTAGATGTAGTAAAAAAAGGTTAACTATATTAGATCAATGTTGAAATTTTAAAGAGACATTGTAAATATGTGTTGATACAACATTACAATATCTACATTGATTCAATTAGTAAAACAGAAACAAAGCTCAGCTGTGATTCAACCTTCATCCAGACAAATGTTTGGGAATAAATGCTAGCTGGGAAGGCATTTCAGTGCTTAAATCTGACAAATCTGTTTGAAAATGTATCTCCAGGTTCACATTATGGGCCAGAGTGCCTCTATACAGCTATCCAGAAGTCTCCCCACAAACATGCTCAGACAGGTTGGTGGCTCTGAGAAGGGGCTGTGCCATGCCTTCCTGTAAATCCACATTAATGCACAAATCAGCATGGAAATCAGAGATCTGAAAAATAGCAATGACTAATCCAATCCAGACCCACAGGAATCTCACGGGAAAGAAAACAACACACCCATGCCAAATGTCCACACTTGGTTCAGTCTAATAAATCAGATATTTTGGAGATTTTTCATGAAAATTCTGTTGCAGTCCAGTCGAATAACACAACAAGTGATCGTGCAAACAAAATCATACAATGAATATAAAATCCTTTGTCAATATAATTCATTTTCCTAAATTGTGAAATATGCATTGGAAAAAAATGTATGCATGTTCCAAATACTTAATGTAAACTAACAAAATTACTTGGCATCATTTTGAGAAGTCCTGGTAACGTCAACAATTCAACAGCCATAGTAGAAGTGACTTCAGAGCGGTGTCCCTTGGCTGGTAAACAGTTTGTGCTATGTGTGTGCAGCCCCAGTTCACTCTCAGGAATGGTTCAGTGTGGTTTCAGAGCTCACTCTGCGACTGCATAAAGGTACAATCCCCACTCCCTAGGACAGTTGGAATAGCTGTGCCCTTTTTGTATTTGACTGTGATCATATATATATCTCCTTTTTCTATTACACGGCTCTCTGGAATACTTGATTCTGATTCAGTCCCCACCCTTGGCCATCTGATATTTCCTAATATTCTGTCGCCCATGGCAATACTGTATAATCAGTCTGCTCATACTGGTAACTTATACCGGCTCTACATTCATGTCTCTCGTATCACAGCAGACTTGCTCTCTCTTGCAAGATGCAACTGGCACCTTCTTTTTTCTCAGTTATTGATGGTATTGATCATTACCTCAGAGGATTTACATTTTTAATATTACTGTAATAGTTGCAGTGTTCGTCTTGCTGCTAAGCTGATTGTTTTGTATGTTATAGTGGACCATTTTAATAGCGGAAACTTTAAGATAAAAAACAACTTGAATAAGAATTTTATGTCCAAGTACACTACCGTTCAAAAGTTTGGGGTTGGGGCTGATAATAATTTTGAAAGAAGTCTCTTATGCTCACCATGACGAGCTTATTTGTTTAATAATATTGTATTATTACATAAATACAGTGCAAGCATTAATATTGTGAAATAGAAGTAGAAATTGAAAGATAAATATTTGTAACATTATACATGTCTATGTTGTCAATTTTGATCAATTAAATGCATCCTTGCTAAATAAAAGTATTAATTTCTTTTTAAAAAAAAACGGTAACACTTTACAATAAGGTTCCGTTAGTTAATGTATAAAGTACATTTATTACAGTATTTATTCATCTTTGTTAATGTTAGTTAATGAAAATACAGTCATTCATTGTTAGTTTATGTTAATTCACAGTGCATTAACTAGTGTTAACAAGCACAAACTTTGATTTTAATAATGCATTAATAAATGTTGAAATTAACATTAAGATTAATAAATGCTGCAGAAGTATTGGTCATTCTTAGTTCATGTTAACTAAAGTAGTCAACTAATGTTAACTAATGAACCTTATTGTAAAGTGTTACCAAAAAATCTTACTGACCTCAGATTTTTGAATGGTAGTGTATTTATTTATTTGGTCAGTAGCCGTGTAATAATATGCAGTCTATTTTGGGATAATAACCAGCTGACTGTATGTTATCCCTTACATAGAGCATAGTTAGATCTGTCTTGGTCCCTTTAAACCCTTTGTTGACCAACATTCAGGAATAATTAGCAACCCAGTCAAGTCTTTTTGTTTCAGACTGTTGGAGTATTTTGGCATCATAGTACTGAAGATTTAGGCTATAGATAGATGTATTGTAGTGCACGGGATTGACACTGTAAATACAGGCTCTTGCTGTGCCATGACTAATAACCAGAACTGGTTTCTACATCCACTCCCTGCTTAGATCTTTGTGTCTCAGCGTATAAACATTTACATATGTGCAACATCACACTGACAATCATTGTCATCTACATCCCGGGTTCAATGCAAGTAAAGCTATATCAATAACATCTGAGACATGATGCCAATTATTGCAGAAAATCATTTTGAGCCACACGTTGAGAGATTTCTGTTTCCCCATAGATTATTATAATGTTTCACACATTTTTACACACTGCGAGATAAGAAATGATTTTCTGTGGTAAACAACATGCTACGGTTGCTTAACTTGGGTTTAACCTAGCATATTCCCAGGAAAGTTATTTATATTGTACTCCTTCTCCTAATTAATGTGTTCTCAGAATTTTAAATGATCTCCCTCTGACATCCCAGACAGAAGTCTCGATATATCCTTCAGATATTCAGAGGCCTAAACATTTCACTTTGAGAAATTTTAAGTTCCCATGGGGGAGACTCAGCAGGCGACTTCATTAGGTTAAAAGAGGTTGTCAACAAATCTGTACACACTGTCACAGTACAGACAAGTCTATGTATTGTCAATCTGCCGGTCGTGTAGGAGTATGTTTGTTATTTTGTAGCACTGTTGTCAGAATGCAAGCTCAAATCGAAGTCGAAAGGATTGTAAATGTGCTTTTCTGTGCTAATCAGGGCTGAATTTCTTTGGCACTCAGTTTCTCAACCTGCGCTGAGCTCAATACCTCGCTGAAGCTCTGATGAATGATTATCAAATGATGTTTGCAGTTACTTGTGCTTCAAATTAGATGCTAAACCCAATGTCCAGCCCACTTAAAATAGTATCCTATCCTTTTTCTTTTGTTATTCGTGCTTAGAATATGCTCAAACATCTATCAAACACTTCTATTAGGAGTCTCTTTTTGTTTATGTAATAAAGTGTATTTAGAAGTTTTTGTTGTCGCTATATGAATGACACTCTAGTTCTCTCTCCCCAAGGGAAAGCCGTTCCTGAATCAGATGAAAATTTACCCACTGAACAACTAAAGGAGAACTCCGCTCCTCCAGCTCGCTCGGAGGTCATCTACGATGATGTGCCTTGTGAAAACATCATGCCACCAGATGCAGGTCAGTGTCTGACTATGGGCATCATCTGTCCAGATCAGTAATGTCATCACCCATAGGGAAATTCTCACTTGAGAGCTATTGAAAATCTCAAATGTTTCTTCAAGATAGCAGAAATGGAGAGCATTTTATTTATTTAAAGTTTTTCTCATAATCTCATTACGTTTCTACTCTGTACTCTACCATTGTACTGTGGTAAAATGAAGGAATTTTCTGCATTGATTTTTCATTATTTTGAATTATACATTACACTGTGTCGTGTTTTTAGGGTTGAAGGAAATATCCGTAATCTTAACATAAAAGGTACGGGTAATTTTCTGCCAGGGCATTATCTGTTTTTCTACTGATTAGATGACCGATGTAGAGTTTCAAAAATGTTCCGAACAGTGAATAGATTTGCCAAGATATCAATGTTTACAACCGAGAATCAGATTTCAAACATTTCCATTACCAAAGTCAAACTATCTGGCCTGTTATATCTGCATTAAAAAATTTACCTGAATGCTCTAAAGAAGGTGAGCCTGAGGAAGGTAGCCAGCCTGGGCCATTGAACAGGGTAGTTGAACCCACTAGGGGCATCCATGAGTTATGAGGAGGCCATGAGAAAAAAATGCAGATGGTAATAAAGTGCAAACTCCAAGCAATAAAATTTCCCTTGAGCAATAATTCTACAAGAAGTACATTCACATTGCAGGCAAAGATTTATTTTCACCCTGTAGTAACTTGGTGTTGTAACTAAGCCTTTACCAACCAACTCACCTATGTTTCCGGTTTAGATGTATCTTGACTCAGGACATTTTATACTTCCTCCTACCTCATACTATTTTTTCTTGATTATTTTTCAGAGGATGATGTGATCTATGAGGAGGTGCAGAGGTCTGGCGAGCCCGGGCTGATAGACAACGGCTGGGGCTCCAGTGAGTTTGAGAGTTACGATGAGCAGTCAGACAGCGAGACCAAGCAGCCCACTCGCAATAAGGTACAAATCCACTGCCCATTTATTATCAACACTTGAGATAAATGAGATGATGTGCATTGTTGAAGGGTGGTAGTATACAATGACTAACAAAAGTCAAAAGCAATGCTGCCAGCGTTAGCTCAGCCGGTGGTGTGTGTTTAGAGGTAGGGCTACTGATTTGTGTGACCAGTGGCAGATGGTTTGAAACCTGTTTGAAAACAATCATTATTTATGCTTATTCTGTTCAGTGATGCTAGTAGAGCAGAAATTACACACTTCAACTTTAAAAAAGGAAAGGATTTTTTTGGCACTCGGTTTCTTTCAGTTCTCCTTCCTTGCTGGGTTTACCCTGTTCCTGTTCTTAGTTAATGTCTGTTGATGCATGCCCGAGAGGTCTTAATCCGCAGATGTTGCATGTCATGCATGAAAACAGGTACAGAAAGCTTTAACTAGACTAACCAGACTTGGCCTTATGCAGTCTGAACTTGGGTACTTCTGTTTAAGGAAGAATTTGTGAGTAGTAGAGCAGTTTAAGTGTGATATTTTAGTACAGTGATCCGAGACAGACAATTTCTGAGGCTAAATCTCTGGTCTTCTTCACGCTGTTATGTCTGTCTTCAGTTCCCACTGTTGTTGGCCTTGATGTTATCGCTGTCTGCCTGTGTTTGTCACACTCTCAATCTCATTATTTTCCTCCTTCTCCCCTCTTTATTGCCATCTTTCTTTATGTACTGATATATTTCAACCCCCCCCCCCCGTACTGCCCGTGGACATGGCTTTGTGGTAATGGATATAGATTTCCCCAGACGTACGACGTCTGAAGCAACGCTGCGTGCAGACCAGGCGTGAGCTAGCCATGCGGTTAGGGTCTCGAGATGTCGGCCAACTCAAACAAAACTATGACCTTAAGGTACATTTATACAGTGGTGGGTGTATGGTAATCACTGATTCTTGAGACATGGGACAAAACGTCAACTTATGAATGACCGTGCTTATATTTTCTGTCATAACTATAATATGTCTACTCCATAAAGTAGTTGTTTTGGATTTTTATAGAATTTTAAGTTTCTCCTATTAGTAGTTAGTAACAACAGACAAACAAAATGGTTCTTGCATTTAAATAGATGTGTGGTATTCAGTAATAATTCTAAATATATTGTATTTTTTTAAAGAAATACTTTTATTTAGCAGGGATGAAATAAACTGATCAAAAGTGACAGAAAACGTTTGTAACATTCTAAATGTCCTTACTTTTTTTGAATAAATGAGCTTTCTATTCATCACAGAATCCTGAAAAAATGCATTATGGATTCCATAAAAATATTAAGCTGCAAAGCTGTTTTCAGCATTGATAATAAAAATTAATATTTCCTGAGCACCAAATCAGTATATTAGAATGATTTCTGAAAGATCGTGTGACACTGAAGACTGGAGTAATGGATGCTGAAAATTCAGTTTTGCCATTACAGGAATAAATTGCATTTTAAAATATGTTAAAATAGAAAAAAGTTATTTTAACTTGTAATAATATTTCAGTTTGATTGTATTTTTAATTTTGAGAGTGGATGAAAATGACAAGGAAAAATGCACTTGGAAGAAGCATTAACGGAGCTCTGCAGCGTGTTTTGTCTCAGTTTTAAGGATCAGTGTTATATTACACATTAGAATAAATCTAGATTTTGTAGATTTAGTTGCAATTTCAACTGTTCACCAAAATTCATATACAGCTACTAGTTATAGTAGTTCCATCAGGCTAATCATTGAACAATTTTTTTTTTTTTTGTACAACGAAAATGAAACTGTGTGAATTCCACTGAGTGTTGCAACTGAGCAGAGAGAGACCTTGAGGGTTTGTCCTGGTGCTGCTGAACACACTGATCCACAAACAGGAATTTATCTCTTCTCTTTTAGTTTTGCTGATTCATTTTGTTCCTTGCTGTCATCTTATGCACTTAACCAGTCTCTCTTTCCTCCCGTAGGTTCAACAGCTCATGAAAGCAGCTAGGAATGGCACGAAAGATGGACTGGAAAAGACCAAAATAGCCATGATGCGTAAAGTGTCCTTCCTGAGTAAAAAAGACTGCACAGGTTTGACTTTTTGACTCTCATTTCCTCTTGTTAGTTTCTGGTGGTTTTTTTTCTAACACCTGGTAGGTTACAGTACAGAAACAATACTAGAGACTAGATGCCTCTTTGAAAGTTTTGAATGTTTAAATTATTCTGAGATAGCAAGTGGCATGAATTATTACAGAGCTACAGAATAGTGTTTACCTAGAGGGAGAAGTGAGCCGAGATGGAAGGTATTGGAATAGTATGTGATGCCAGTGGGAAAGAGGAGTTTAACTGTGCTTTTGACTTTCAATGTGCAGATGACATAGAGGAAGATTCTGGATATCTGGATGTGACTGTATCTGAACTCAAACATCCACCACCTCAACTTTCTCCAATGCCAGAAGGGCTCAGTAGCCAACAGGTGCGTGTTTCTATGTACTTATGCGTGAATCGGCCTGCATTACTGTCAGTATCATACTTGCCCTTCTCATTTATGACATATTTACATGAACCACCTTAAAAATATTTGTGATCAGTAAGATTTTTTTTCATTTTTGAAAGATATTAACACCTTTATTACTCAAGGATTCATTAAATTGATCAAAAGTGGCATTGTTACAAAAAAATCTATTTCAAATAAATGGTGCTCTTCAGTTTTAAAACTTTCTATTCATCAAAGAATCCTGAAAAAAAATATACAGTATATGGGTTTTTCGCAAAAATATTAAGCAGCAAAGTTGTTTTCAACATTGATAATAATAATAACGAGGAAGATTCTGGATATCTGGATGTGACTGTATCTGAACTCAAACATCCACCACCTCAACTTTCTCCAATGCCAGAAGGGCTCAGTAGCCAACAGGTGCGTGTTTCTATGTACTTATGCGTGAATCGGCCTGCATTACTGTCAGTATCATACTTGCCCTTCTCATTTATGACATATTTACATGAACCACCTTAAAAATATTTGTGATCAGTAAGATTTTTTTTCATTTTTGAAAGATATTAACACCTTTATTACTCAAGGATTCATTAAATTGATCAAAAGTGGCATTGTTACAAAAAATCTATTTCAAATAAATGGTGCTCTTCAGTTTTAAAACTTTCTATTCATCAAAGAATCCTGAAAAAAAATATACGGTATATGGGTTTTTCGCAAAAATATTAAGCAGCAAAGTTGTTTTCAACATTGATAATAATAATAATAAGAAATGTTTCTCGAGCACCAAATCAGTGTGTTAGAATGATTTCTGAAGGATCATGTGATACTGATGACTGAAGTAATGGCTTTGCCATCACATGAATAAATGACTTTTAAAAATATATTAAAATAGAAAACAGCTATGTTAAATTGTATTTATATTTCACTGTATTACTGTTTTTGCTGTATTTTACTGTATTTTTACTGCTGCCTTGGTAAGCATAGGAGCATATTAAGCTGCTGGTTTGCTGTCAGTTAACCTAATTGAATTCAAATTCCTACTTTGCATTATTTTGAATGTCACAGGTTGTCAGGCGTCACATTCTTGGCTCTATCATCCAGAGTGAAAGAAGCTACTTAGACTCACTCAAGAGGATCCTGCTGGTCAGTGACACAATCATGACATTACATATGACTTTATTACTAAAAAAGGATTCTGAATTATCACTTTTCTAATAATGCAAGAAACAGAAATATTCCTAAATTTTCTTAATGAAGTGTAAAGGAGAGCAAAAGTAGAAATAAAGCACAAGGGGGAAAATATACCCTGTTAAAAAAATTGCCTAAAGTGTTTTGCTGGTCTTAAACAGTTTAAGCTGGTTAGCCAGCTGGTCCGCCAGCCTGAGCAGCTGACAAGTGCGCAAAACTCCTCTAAAACCATTCAAACAGACCATCCTAACCTTCTTGGACAGGGTGGTTTGCACTTTTTTCAGCAGGGTAAAGTCAAAAACAAAATATATTCCTACACCCTTATCTTATTGTGCTGATTAAGCTGGAAGATTCATTAATTCTATATTGTATTATTTTAAACTGACAAAAACAGATGTGAATATGTTAATTAAATCAACAGAGAGATAAAACCAAGCTGAACAATCTGACCAGACTCACTCATACCTACCACCTGAATTATATTTTAGGAATATAAGAAGCCTTTGATGGAGGCGGAGCCGCGGATCCTGAGCTTGAAGAAGATCCAGCCTGTTTTTTATAGGCTGAAGGAGATCCTGCAGTGTCACTCCATGTTTCAGATTGCTCTGGCCTCCCGTGTAGCAGAATGGGATAATACTGAGAAAATCGGAGACCTTTTTGTTGCTTCAGTACGTCTCCTGTTGTTCTACTAAAATGTTCAAATTGTGGTGTGTTTCACAGTTTTTGGTTTTTATGTTCATTGATTTTTAATTTTTTGCTTTGGTTGCAAAAAGCTTAAGATTTCATTGCTTTGCCTCTCATTTTTTCACACTTGTTTTTGATTTAAAACACTGCACAGTTGCATAGCATTGATCCAGCTGATTTGTATGGCCACATATATAACCTTCACATTAAGATGAAGATTTTTGCATGAATAAGGGTTGTCAGATCTGCTTATTAGAGTCAGTTGTACTTTGTAATTCTCTGTATTTATACCCTACCATGACTCACTTTCTTTTGTTTCTGTGATGAGGGATCTTTGCAGATGGAAAAACGGGACATCCTATAGTCAGCAGTTCTATTTAAAGTGTGCTAATTTCCTCTGCATCATGCAGACTGTGCTCTGCAGCTGAGAACATAATGTTTAAGACAGTTTGATCAGTAAATGCTAAACAATCTTACAACTAGTCACTCCATATTGACAGAAAAATAAATACAAATGCAAGCGAAGTACACTCAAAAAAAAAAAAAGGTACAAAACTCTTACCTGAGTGGTACCATTTCAAAATAGTAATATCTTTAAAGTACTAGTATGTACAATTTATGGATAAATAAGGTATAAAGATGTACCTTTTAACTGCCCCAGTGACAGCTTTGTACCGTTTTTTCCTGGGAGTGTACAGATTACAAAGCGTTAAGTCTTGAAGTACATGGATCTTCTGTTATGTCTGAACTGTGGATTGTTATGTCTGCCACTAAGCTGATCGTTGTTTTCATCTCCTCTAGTTTTCCAAGTCAATGGTGCTAGATGTGTATAGCGACTATGTCAACAACTTCACCAATGCTATGGGTCTTATCAAGAAAGCTTGTATGTCCAAGCCAGCATTCCTGGAGTTTCTCAAGGTGAACTTCTCAACATGCTAAAAATCTAGTTCCATTCTAGTTCCCTGTCATTTCCGACCTGTTTTTGTGTTCTTCTGGGCTGCAGAAAAAGCAGGCTGCCAGTACAGACAGAATCACTCTTTATGGCCTCATGGTCAAACCAATTCAGCGCTTTCCTCAGTTCATACTCCTACTGCAGGTTAGTACTCTGAAAGCTCCAAACACACACACATGTTGGTTTTGGGGGTTTACAGGCACTCTCCATAGGCATAAAGGTTTTTAAACTGTACAAACTATTTTCTATCGCCCTACACCAACCCTATACCTAAACCTACCCCTCACAAGAAACTTTGTGCATTTTTAGATTTTCAAAAAAACACCATTTAGTATGTTTTTTTTAAAGGGGTCCTATTATACTCTTTTACAAAGTCTTGAATTTGTTTTGGGGGTGAACTAGAACATGCTCTCATGCTTGGTGGTTCGAAAAAAGCATTATTTTTCACACAATTTACATTATTAAAATACCTTTCTCCCCAACCTGGCACAAACGGCTTTGATTAGTTCCGGCTTTGATGAAGGTCCGCCTTCCGAAAAACCAAATGTGTTGTGATTGGTTAGCTGTCCCTGTGTGTTGTGATTGGCGAACAGCTTAGACGGTGTTTCAGTACTGCAACGCCCCTTGCTCTGTCTTTCAACAAAAGCTTTTTGGCGAATCCGGCACTGTACTCCCTCGTGTTGTGGAAGCTGTCCTCAGTAAAATGCGCAGCACACAATAGAAAATTGGGGTTATAATGCTCAGGAACAGAGTTAAAAAATAAATTGCAACCACTGTTTCCTGACATCATCCGCTTTCGGAAGCCCAATCAAAGACGTTTGTGCACGGAGGTGAAAAAAACAGCGTTTCAGGCGGTCGCACACCGGACGAGAAGAGCAGCGTCGCGCCACGTTTTTAAAATTCAAATACATTATTTTTTGTGAGTGTAGGCACACTGGCGGCGCCTTTCGGCTTCTGTCCGCAGCGCCCAGCTACGTCGTGTTGTACTTGTAAGAATTGTTCTAGACATGCCGAAGATTTTACGCTACAGCACAGTAGCTCTTCTTCTTCGTTTTCTCTGATGCACTAACTCTGTAGCAGCACTTCTTCTTCATTGTCTCGTCTGATGCACTCACTCAACCAAGCGTTCTAACCATGACCTCGCCCCTCCCCACCCCCCAACCATTCGAATTTCTGTAAGCGGGAATTATTTTTAATGATATTCTAATGAGCCGCTTTGTGATATCACAAAGCCCGGAAACCAACGCTGTAGTCCAAACGAGCCGTTTGTTGTAGTTCTTGAAAAGGGATTTTTAAAAAACGAAATATCTCCCTTTGGAATGGACTTTGAGATTTGTAAATTTCTAGATCTTTTTTATGCCCAAACATACACATTACACACTGACTAAAATGAAAAAAGTGAAAAAGCATAATAGTACCAATTTAAGCCTTTTGAGTTATGGGGACACAGGTAGTGTCCTCATAAACCACCTTCATATTGTAATACCTGTGTCATACCCATGTCATTATACAAATTTGTGTCCTCATAAACCACCCAAACCAGTGCACACACACACACACAAAGCTAAAGATGATTGACAAATAAGAAGTTACATTTCATAATGGTGGAATTTCCTCAGACTGTTACACATGGGAAAATGAAAGACAGAGTGCTAGTGAAGCACATTAAATGTGTGCTTCCTATCAAAACCATGATGTGATACTGTGCAGATAATGCTTAAACATGTAAAACTTAACCCTGAGGAAATCCCTTGTGTATGCCGATTACTTATTTTTTGTCATTAGATCATTCTTACAGTGTATTCAATGAATTCATTTGCATGTAATTTCTGGGGTGCTGAGGCTTTTACCGCAGGCTGTTTCTCAGGGACATTTGAGTTCATAAAGAGTGTGTTACTTGGGTGTACTATAGCTTGGTTGTTTAAAATGTGTATAAGGCTACAGTTGAAAATGAGCTGAAATAGCTAAACTGGAGCGACTACAGAAAGGCATTGAAATAGCATTAACAACCCTCTGACATACGTCCAAGTAAAACAGGATATTCACTGAGGGTGGGACTCAATTTTATAAAGTAAATAGAGTCAGTTTTAATTTAATGCACACTACTGCCTGTAAATGTTAACTGAATAAAGTAAAATTCTAAACTGGTAACTGGATTGTTATACGTGTATATCCCACAATTCATGAATTATTGTGGCTTTGAGCATGCCACTTAACATCATTTGCTTGCGTGGGACGGTCTTTGCAATAAGTGTATTGTAGGTCACTTTGCATGGAAGCATTGGCTAAATGACAAATTAGGTAGTAATTACTGAATAAATGCAGACATATCTGTCTGTGTTCCACAGGACATGCTGAAAAACACCCCTGTGGGGCATCAGGATAGGCTGCCGCTGCAGCTGGCCCTCACTGAGCTTGAGACTCTCGCCGAGAAGCTGAACGAGCAGAAACGGCTGGCCGAGCAGCTCGCTGAAATCCAACAGCTCACTCGTAGCGTCAGTGACCGTAACCTCAGTAAGGTCAGAGACCACCACACTACAAACACACACGGGACACTTCAAAGCATTACCAACCCAACAACACAATGATTTGGCTTTACAAGATAATTTGGCAAGTAGTGAGAAAGGACATGAGCTGTCAGTGTGATCAAACTGCTATCTTCCACATTTCCTCTTTACAGAAATAGCTTTGACAAAGATGTTTCCTTGCAAGGGTGGCGGGTTGTCAGTGAAATTTATTTTAGTAGCAGCTATTAACGACCACATTATATCAAAATGTTTGTGTTTTTTGGCTTTAATTTCATATCTATTAGCTTTGAGGTAGTCTATCTACTTGCACAAGGGACCCCCTTCCTAAAATACTGTATAAAGGCAACTATATATTTTTTTATATATGAAGGCCCTTTTTCTATACTGTGTGAAAATAGCAATTGTGAAATGATCAAGACAATATATTGTTTATATTGTCATGTACTGTCAAGCCAGAAGAAGTTATTAAAAGATTATCTGTTTATTATTTACTTCATATTGAGTTAACAGAACATTTTTGTGTATTTCTTTCTAGCCACTAGAAAATAATGTTTAAATATAAACTAGAAAGCAAACATTTTTCAATTGAAATTAATTTGGATTGTATTTACATACATGTTGTTTGCCAAAAAAATTTGCTTTTATCCTGTCATACTGTATAAAATATACCGTCATTTTAATGAATGCCAAAATAAGTTTTTAAAATATTATCTGAAAATAATTTATTATCTGAAAATTATTTACTTTGTATTGAGTTAACTACGTATTGTTTTGCATATTTCTTTCTACCCACTATTAATGAGATGTTAAATTATAAACCTGAAGACAAACATTTTCAATTCAAACTTGTGTGGTTTTTATATAGATAAAAATTTAAATGGAAAGCAGAATGAAAAACCAGTAATGTCAAATGTAATAAATTTTCACTTTATTTAAAAATGAGTTTTTGCACTTTTCCCCCTCTGAAATCCTCCCACTTGTGTGACACAAGGAGTTCCCAGATGGTTTAAATGATCTTTTAGCAGATATACACACTTAAAATTAAACTCGGAGTGTCATTATAGGTAAATTAACTAGAATTTGTTTAGTAATTTCAGAAGGTTCAAGATCTGATGAATAGAAGCTTCTATTGAGGAGAAAAAATAAATATGATTTCATTTTATATTCAGTTTGTGTTTATTTATTTTTTTGCATTTTAATTAAGCTAGACTGATTTTATATATTAATATTAGTTATATTAATGATAATATATTAAAGGGGTGGTTGATTATGATTTCACTTTTTTAACTTTAGTTAGTGTGTGATATTGCTGTTAGAGCATAAACAACGTCTGCAAAGTTACGACACTCAAAGTTCAATGCAAAGGGAGATATTTTCTTTTAAAGAAATCGCTGTTTAAGGACTACAAAAAAGGCTGGTAGGTGACTACAATGAGCTTCTTTCCGGGTTTGTGACCTCACTAACCCTGTTGTTTACATAAACCCTGCCCCCTGGAACATGCAACTACCCGTAATGGTAAGGGGGCGTGACGTTTCTGGACAACGTGCACTAGGCGGTTAGCGAATCACAACGCACTGGGCCTGATCGTGTATTTCTGAGGGAGGGGCTTCATAGAACCAGGAACTCAACAGACTGGTTTGACAAGAATGGAAAGAGCGGTTTAGAATAAAGGTAAAATATCTGAAAATAACGTGTGTTTTAAAAAACCAAGCATGAACAGGTTACACTGCACCCTATAAACACAATCAATATAAACACAAGCAAGCCTTCGAAAAAAAGCTGATCAACCACCCCTTTTAATTTAGATCATTTTAATTCATCTTGTGACCCCTAGTGGGCCCCTGCCTCCTGGTTAAGAACCACTGCACAAGAGCGTTCCCACTTCCCTCAGCAGCTGCAATGCACACATACAGTATATTAGAATCAGAATGAGCTTTATTGCCAGGTATGTTTACACATACGAGGAATTTGTTTTTGTGACAGAAGCTTCCACAGTGTAACAGAATGTCAGTGACAGAACAAAAAAACACAGATAATAAATATTATCTCACCTTCATATGCAAATAACCAGTTTTTGAATCCCCAAATGTTACATCACTCTTACCTTTGTAGATTTGTTCAACTGCGCAAGTGTTTCGTTCAAGGATGTTAGAGTTAGGAATTAAATTAAGATGATGAAGATCAATTAAAAGACATTACTTCAAAGCCAAGAGTCTAAAATGAAGAGCACAGACATACAGGTGAAGCAAGTATTCTCTCATGGTGTGGATGTATTCATTTACTTTGTAAAACTGTATTTTTTTATAACAGCAACTGAACTCGGATCAGAAGCAGTTGATTCTGTCTGAGACACTGATTGAGACCGTCTATGGCGAGAAGGGTCAAGTCCTCAAGTCTAAGGAGCGAAAAGTCTTCCTCCTGAATGACATGCTCATCTGTGCAAACATCAATGTGAAGTAAGCAGTCCTCTTCACACGTGCACATCACAACTCTGTCCTGTCTTTCATGAGAGAGGTTTAAGCTCATTGCATTATAATTAATGAAGGTGTTCACCCAAAAATTACATTTTGGCATCATTTACTCACCCTCATTCAAAGTTTTTCGAGTTTAGTAAAATGTTCATGCTGCTTTTATGTAATGAAAGTACCTGGTGACCTAGAGCTGTCAAGCTTAGAAAATGATGACAAAAGGCACAATAAAAGTAGTTCATGTGACTCATATCCTATATTCCAAGTCATCTAAAGCCGTCTGATTGCTTTGTGTTGAGGAAAAGACAAATTGAAGTTGTTTTTCACTGATAATGTCCTCCTCTGACACATCTTTCAAATTTCATTCATGTTCATATCCAGCGTGTCAAAACATGTCACATCAGGTTTGACATAATTTCATGTCATTGGTTCTCTGTTGGTTTCGTAACAGATTTCAAATGGCAGATGCTTATGTGCGTGTTTAAATTGCACAAATGAGGTTTGGTGGGGCGAGTGAGAATTTTCTGTGAATAATCTTAAATTAAATGCTGTCATATGGCTTCAGATGACTTGTTATATATAGTGCATGAGTCATATGATCTACTTTTATGGTACTTTAATGTCATCTTTGGGGGTCACCATTTACTTTCATTGTATGGAAAAGAGCAGCGCAAACATCCTGCCTAAACTTTCCTTTTGTGTTTAACAGAAGAATGAAAGTCATAAGAGTTTGGAATGATATGACTGTGAGTAAATGATGACAGACCATTCATTTCTGGTTTAATTAGTATTAAGTAATAAATGAATACAGTTAATTGCAGAAAATTAGAATTCAGTTACTTGCTCATAATTTATGAATTAAGGCCATCTCCATTTTAACTCCCTCTCAACTGACACATAGATACACTGAAACGGGCATTGATAACATCTTTGAGGAGCCAAGGTAACATTCTCACATCTGCCAGGTTTTTTCATTAATGACCACTGGGTCATGCTGTTTTCAAAGACTTCGGATCAGAATGATTTTACACTGTCTTCAAAGTTCTGCTGCATTCTTCAATCTCATCGCACCTTTCTCAATGTAGATCATGCATAACAGAGGAATACATGAATAATAATTTCCTGAAATCACAGTAGGGGGTGTGAGACTCTCTGGGAATCTTTCTGATCACAAAGCTCTAATTGACTGTCTGATTTCAGGATCGCCGTCACTATCGTTCAGACGTTCTCTGATCATGTATTATTTGTAATTGTGAGTTGGACTTTGTTGTGCAATCTTAAAGTAATTATTTTGTGTTTAATCAGGGGCCCTCCAGATATCAGCAGCCTAGTCCCTATTGGTCCAAAATACGCAGTTAAGTGGAGTGCCCCCCTGCTGCAAGTACAAGTGGTGGAGGTGGGCCAAGAGACCCCCCAGCGTAAAGACAGCATCTACCAGCAGAGTGGAAGCAAGCGCCTGAGCTCCACCAACTCTCAAGGTTGGCATTTTTAAAGAGCACTCCTTTCATGTGGTTAGAGGAGCATGGAAAAAAAAATTAAATAATGAACTTGGTTTTTTGATGTAGTTGGTAAAGCTGGATCATATAGAATAGAAAACCAATTTTAAATTGTAAATTATATTTTCAAATATTACTGTTTTTATTGTATTTTTAAATAAATTCAGCCTTATATATATATATATATATATATATATACTGTATATATATATACACACACACACACACACATTTTAATATTTTAAAGTTTAAATTCTTAATATTTTTTATAATTTTATTTCCATTTTAAAAATCAAAAGGATTCATCATTGTATTACTTTTAAAGGGGTCATATGATGCGATTTCAATTTTTCCTTTCTCTTTGGAGTGTTACAAGCTCTTGGTGCATAAAGAAGATCTGTAAAGTTGCAAAGACTAAAGTCTCAAATCCAAAGAGATATTCTTAATAAAAGTTAAGAGTCAGCCACACCTACCTAAAACGACTCGTTCTAACATGCCCCCACGTCTACATCACTATGTGGGAAGATTTGCATAACGCCGCCCAAATGTTCACGCAAAGAAGGAAGTCGTAACTTTTATTCTCGCTGTAGTATTGTTGCCGCCGCCGCCATGACGTGAAGCATAAACACATTTCAGTACACCAAATACACAAAATAATGTTCTTTTTAGCAACGTCATATGACCCCTTTAAGAAATTTTATTTATATTAACAATATTATTATTTTTACCTACATGTTGTAATATAATCAACCTATCAGAATTGACACTGAATGCTTCTTGGTTCAAGTTGAACATGATTGGATGTGGTGGCTCAAACTAATGACTTTTTCTGTGTTTCATTAAAAGAACTGGCTCATAAGAATCATTTATGAATTGTAAAAGAATGGAAATTAATTAACTGGAGTACACTAGTTCCATTATTTGTATTATAGTGGAGCAGGAAACGCTTTCAAATAGTATTAATATTCAATGTCTTTATAAATTATTGCATGGATTTTTACTGTTCTCTAACACTGGTAAACACAAGAAATTCTAATTTCCCCACAGTTATGACAGCTTTACCTTTAACAAATTACTGTCTCTGAGCTAATATCAGTGTGCAGTCCTCCTGCTGCATTCATCTTAGGTTTCCTCAGGGCTCAATGTTAAACCCAGCTCATACTCTCCAGCAGGGGAAATATACACTAACAGTCAGAGGACACAACAGAGGGTCTAATACCAGGATAAGATGAACCAAAAGTCCTTGGGTTACTTTTTTCCTTCTTTTCTTACATCAGAAATTTCAACCTCTTCTCAACATCTTTCCAGCTGTGTTTGAGCTTTCAGCCTGATGCAAATACTGCACAGAATTACAATGTTAGTTGAGCGCAGCCGTTCCATTGCTAGAGTTTGCTGGGGGCATATCATTTCAGTCCCAAAAGATTTAATGTGAATATAATTACTGATTATCATGGAAATGTTATTTGTTCAGGAAAGCTGTTTCTGGGACCACCACGGCTGTATCAGGGTCTGCAGGAGTTACAGCATGATCTTTCTGTGGTGGAGGAAGTCACATTGTTGGTGGGCACCCTGCAGGGATCCTACCAGGTAAAATCCTTAATCATCCGCAACGTTGCACACCTGATCAATATCCGACTGCCAGTGAATAATTCCATTCCTAATTTCCTATTAGGGATGAGCAAAACTATATATTTTCATAGTAGAATAGTCTGAACAACTAGGGATAATTCATCCTAAAATGAAAAATTCTCACTCGCGCTTGTTATGCATATCATTTGTGAAAAACAAAAAAAGATGTGAGAAAAGAGCAACAAAATACTTTTCTCAAAAAAGTCAATTTAAAAGTAAACAGAATTTCATTTTTGGGTGAACTATCCCTTTAAGGGAGCCCTTAGGCTGCTTTAGAGATGTTTCCACCAGACACCATTCAGATGTTACTGAAGGATTGTTCAAATAGAGGCATAGTTACAAAAAAAACATTGTTTGAATCATGACATGAGAGTATATTTCATAAATAATAATTTATAGTTTCAGATTTGTATTTATAATTTCAGAATTTCATTCATTTTGTATTTAAAACATTCATTTTGTGACAATTTCTGCAAATGTTTATTTTGACTAGCTTTGCTAGTATAGGATAGGATCATTCACAGCCCTGCTTTCATTAACAAAAAATTTTATATTTAACATTTGACATTATTAAATATAAGTCCACTCTGACCAAGATCCAAGTGTTGCTGACAGCTATTTTAAATATATACGCTAAACATCTGCAACCTTTTATTGCACAAATCTTGTTCACACAAAAACTGGATTATGCATACTAACAGAAACATTGCTCACAGCAGGCGATTTGAAGTCCGACAGTAATTGTCTTGAAATGTGTTGTTGAAGACAGTGGATTTGTAACAAAAGCTCTGCTATGATGGCTGTAGCAGCGGCGCTTTCAAGGGGATGAATTTTGAGATGCAACTTCTCTGAGAGAGTTTACCGCGCTGACAGTTTAGCAGCACGCTGTCAGCATGCTAACACTCTCCACATGAACTTTCCTCTGTAAATCCATTCCTTTTAAAGCACACCTGCTAAAAATATTGAAACCAAAACAAAAAATTTGGAGAAAAGCTGGTCAACCTCACTGATCGACTAGTCAACCCATTTGTAGTCTCTGTAGTGTGCAACAGTCAACTGCATTCGTTTTCTCCATGGGGAAATTGATTCTTAACAACAATAGGTGAACAGTCTTGTACTGTTGTCTTTTTGTCCGATTTTCAGATATTTTTTTTACTTCAAATCAAAGTTTGTGATGTTGTTTCACCTCATAGCTGGTGGGTTTGGTTCATGGCTTATAATGTTTTAACAAAGCCTTTTTAAAATCCCTGTGGAAAAATGAGTGGAAAAAATACTTCTGGAACCAGTGTTGCTGAAAAACCGGGCAGGCACTAATGCACTCTATTGTGTCACTTTCTCGCTCTTTAACCTCTCCTTGCGCTAATTATGTTGCAAATGTCAAAAAGCGGGGTGCTAAGTGTGGTAACCGGTTCTTAGTCAGTCTGACAGCTGTCTCCTGTAAATGTGACTGTGTACGTGTACAGAATCTCAACACTACGGTGGGGCAGGACTGGTGCATGGCTCTTCAGAGGCTCATCCGCATCAAAGAGGATGAGATCCAGTGTGCCAACAAGTGTCGTCTACGGCTGATGATTCCTGGGAAGCCTGACAAGTGAGTGCCGACTACCCACTAATGCCAGTGGGCACAGGTTACACAAAATAGAGCTGTGCATTGAATTCCCCTCAAATGTGGGTGGATGTGACAGTTACACTGACTGAAACATATTCATCCATTTCATCACACTTGTACCAGAAGGATTTAGATTTCTTGGATTTGTCTTGGACCGGCTCAGTCCCCAGAGCCACAAGACTTTTGCTGATCTTTTGGAGGTTTAAACACAGGCTGAACAGCTTTTAAGATTCAAGCTTTTCTTAAAATCTAATGGACCATTATGGTTTAAGGCAGGGGTCTTCAACCTTTTTCAGGCCAAAGACCCCCTTGGTGGATAATGAGACCGAGCATGGACACCCGGTTACATACAGCCTTTAAAATGTTTAAAATTATTACTATTAACATTGATAATAAGTATTTTGAGCACCAAATCAGCATATTAGAGTGATTTCTGAAGAATCATGGGACACTGAAGGCTGGAGTAATGGATGATGAAAATTCAGCTTTGTCATCACAGGAATGAATTACATTTTAAAATATATTACAATAGAAAAATTATGTTAAATTACAATAATATGTCAGTTTTATAGTTTTTACTGAATTTTTATTTCAATAAATGCAGCATAAAACAAAGACTATAAACAATAAAAGCTTTTGTTGAAATCAACTCATTATTGTTTAGTGCATATTTTCCTTTTTTCAAAATAATTATTTTGAGATCAAACCGTAATTGTCAGACCCCCTGCCGTACTACTGTGGACCCCCTGTTGAAGACCCTTGCATTAAGCTGAATTGTGTTTTTTGTTGTTGCCGTGTACTTTTTTCCTTTTAGCAGGCACAAATTATTTTGACTCTTGGCACAAATAGAGCTGTACATACTCATTTTAGTCATGCGTGGAACTGAAAGAGGCTTTGTTTCACTTGAATTTTGATTGTGTTGAATCCCTCTAGGATTTTCACATTTTGTGCGTGTGTGTGTGTGTGTGTGTGTGCATACATCCCTTGACAGGTCTGGCCGTCCAGTCAGTTTCACTGTGGTCTTCAGTACGCCCAGTCCAATTAGTAAAATCTCCTGGGTCAATCGCCTGCATCTGGCCAAAATTGCCCTGAGTAAGTGTGGCATCTCTGGCTTGAGTAACATATTGTTGACATGAATCTTTCACTTATTATTTTCTTGTGTGTAAAAAGCTTTGAGTTTAAGTGACAGTATTGTGACTCTGGCTAAGCTTATTACCGTTTGTGTAGGAGATGAAAACTTGCCTGGCTGGGTGTGTGTAGAGGATGATGAAAAGACTAAGCCTCCATTCTGGTGCCCATTACTGGCCTGCCAATTGCCTGTGTTTACCCCAAAAATGCAAGATCTGAAGGTAAGTGATAGACAACCAACCAATTTGTATTTGTGTAAACTTAAGAAAGAACACTATTCAGCTACACACAGAAGTCATTTTATGTCATTTTTTATGTTTTACCAAAAACAACTGAAAAATGAAAGTTCTGTTTTCATTATAAGTGAATTGTGAGTGGTTAAATATAAGCCTGACTTGTTGTGCAGAAACATTTGTATTAAATTAGCAAAATTGAAGCATATTCACTAATAGTCTCAGACTTGTGATCCCCACTTGATGTGTTATACTTTAGCTTTTATGAAACTCTTGAAACTGACTTGTCAGTGTACCAGCAGAGGCCATTTAGTGCTGCAAAATAAATTGCCTCCTGTGGTAAATTGAGAAGTTAGTTTCATTTTTTTTCTTACGAGCTATTTGTATTTGTGGAAACTTAAGAAAGATCACTATTCAGATACAGACAGAAGTCATTTTATGTTGCTTTTTTTATGCGTTTTACAAAAACAACTCAAAAATGAAAGTTCTGTTATCATTGTAAGTGAATCGCGAGTGGTTAAATGTAAGCCTGACTTTTTGTGTTCTACCTGTAGGAAAGAAAAACTACAAATGAGATCGGGTGTGTGTTCACGGTGTGTGTGTGTGTGCACTTGGATGGGTGAAATGCAGAGCACAAATTCCGAGTATGGGACACCATACTTGACCACATGTCACTTCACTTTTTTTTTTTCAGAGCAACCTCTAAGTGCAGTGTTTTTCCTAGAGCTGCAGGAAAAACTTTTCCTTTGGGTAGTCAGTGTTTGATCTCAGACAAGGCAGATTGTACTCAGATTTAGATTCAGACATTCATTGGTATGCATGTGGTAGACTATCATTCACTGCTTGCTTGGCCAAAATGCTAAGCTTTTATCTGCTCTATCAGTACTGCAAAACATGGTGGATTAGCAATTTTTCTGTCATAGTATTTGCAGTCAGACATGGTGTCTGAATCACAAACACATGTTGCCTTACATTTGCATTTAGCTTTGATCTTCTATTTTGTACAGCATTGCTGTTTTACACCTCCAGGTCGGTGTGCAGCTTCAAACATCTGGTCAGTAATTTCGATCCACAGGACTTCACAGTTTTATTCAAGACCTTCTGCTGGTCCAGTTTTGATTATATTTATTAGCAATAGTTCTGTTCTCCCATTGGATTTCATTGCGTTACTGTTATGATTTGTCATTGAATTACAGTTTTGTTGAGATTAGTATCTCATATTCATTCTCAATGAGTGGCTCGTTGAGTGTATTCAACATTGTTTTTGCAGGTTCTGTTAATTTGTCACTCAGATACTGTTATCTAGCTGGTTAACAGATGAGGTTTTGCCAAAATTGCGATAATGACTTGTGATAGTCATGAAAGCATCAGTAAGCATATGCTGTAAGCTCCAAACCATGTTGTTCAGATGTCACCATTTTCCAGGAAAAATGTGTTTATAAATGTATGGATTTACAGTTTAGCTGTATAAGTTTCAATTATAATTTTCTGTATTTTCTTTTTGTAATGAAGAAAAATGGTTGTAAACAAAACCAATAGCTCAAATGTAATATAGTCCAATATGTTTTACCAACACACATCAGTATAGTTTGACCACGTATGTCCACAAACGTTCTGGTTCATTAGCTCTGTCTTCCTGACAACTGTGAAATGATTTTTTTTGTGTGGTCTTCCCAAATCCCTAATATTCCATAGCAAGTGTATTTCATAGGAAGCAATATGACAAATGCTTCACAACTCATTTGCTGCCGGTGTGTTCACTTCTCAAAATGTGATGCATTCACCCTTTAATGATTGCTTTCCATACCGCTATCAACTCTGGATGAGTGGCTGATGCGTCTTCTGGATGCTTTGGGTGTCGCTCTTACAGCTACAAACCTCACATGCTCATCTGATCCAGATCCTGCATCTAATGTTTTTGATGTCTCTTGTCGGTGGATGTTCTTTTTACCTGGGATGTGTAGTACTTTGAAGTCATACGGTTGCAGCCTTAGGACCCATTGTTCAGTGCTGGCAGAAGGTTTAGATTACGGACTAAATATAGTCCCTAGTATTTTGGTCTGTGATCAAATCCAACTTTCTCCCAAAAAGCTAAGGCTTCACTTTCTTTATTCCTATATTTGCATTCAGTCAGCCTGCAATTCACCAAGCGTGTATACATCTTTCCTCTTTGGTACTGAACAAACAACCGTCTTAACCTACGGAATGTGCATCTGCATTCTGTCATCATCCTTTTTGAAGTATACTCCAGTGTCAGCCTTGCCCAAAATGAGTTTGAATATGTTGCTTTACTGTAGCTCACAAGTCCCAAGAAGAAATGTCTTCATAGCTCATGTGCTCTTTGCAGTTGATTTGATTCTTTGCTTTGTTGACAAAACTTCCATGAAGTTCAATATACTTGCTTACCTGAAAATATACTTGGATTTGAAGTTTAGTAATGAAAAATTCCCATTAAAGCTGCAGTGAAACTAAAGTAGCAACAGATCTTTTCTTCCATATTGTGCAGATATCCGAGTGTAGCAGACTATTAAAAAAGAAACCAATGCAGAGCATTTTTTAGAAATATGTACGTATATATACACACACCTACAAGTCAAAAGTTTGGAATCATTAAGATTTTGAAAGACGTGCTCACCAAGGCTGCATTTATTTAATAAAAAATAAAACAGGAACTTGTAAAATTTTATTACAGTTTAAAATGACAGATGTCTATTTAAATACATTTTCAAATGTAATTTATTCCTGTGATGGTAAAGCTGAATTTCAGTGTCACATGATCCTTCAGAAATCATTCTAATATGCTTACTTCCTGCTTAAGAAGCATTACTCATTATTATCATTAATGTTGTCCTCCAAATGCACTTTTAAGACCTCCAAATGCACAATTTTAAATACAAAAATGCGTAATGTTGTAGACATGGCATCTACCATCAGACGCTAACTGGACCATGCTAACAAACCCTGACCCCTTGCTTGCACAACTTTCTCCTAGTGCATGACAGGCAAAGCTGTGAGCAAGCCAATTAAATCAGTGTAGAAAAATGGAGATCCTTATTTTCCAAGAAAAGTCCAAATTGGAACAAAGTGAATCACTTGTCTTCTTCAAAAGGGAAGCTTCTAAATACTATATGAATGGAAGCATGTGTTATATTTTTGTACATACACAAATGTATGTTTGTGACAGAGTAGATCTAAAGAGGTTCCTAAATATAACTTGTGTAACTTGTGTAGGAGAAACTTTTTTGTGGGAAATGTTAGATGGTTTAAAGAGTGGGGGGAAAATACCTTCATTACTGCAGATTAAAGCGAGGCAGATCTGTGCCTGCTAGAGAAGAGGCAGGAATAGACAAGCGGATTCTTATGTGATGTGAAGTTGAGTCTGTGTGCAGGAGGAACACCCATGCATGGATTTTTACTGTTCTCTAACACTGGTAAACACAAGAAATTCTAATTTCCCCACAGTTATGACAGCTTTACCTTTAACAAATTACTGTCTCTGAGCTAATATCAGTGTGCAGTCCTCCTGCTGCATTCATCTTAGGTTTCCTCAGGGCTCAATGTTAAACCCAGCTCATACTCTCCAGCAGGGGAAATATACACTAACAGTCAGAGGACACAACAGAGGGTCTAATACCAGGATAAGATGAACCAAAAGTCCTTGGGTTACTTTTTTCCTTCTTTTCTTACATCAGAAATTTCAACCTCTTCTCAACATCTTTCCAGCTGTGTTTGAGCTTTCAGCCTGATGCAAATACTGCACAGAATTACAATGTTAGTTGAGCGCAGCCGTTCCATTGCTAGAGTTTGCTGGGGGCATATCATTTCAGTCCCAAAAGATTTAATGTGAATATAATTACTGATTATCATGGAAATGTTATTTGTTCAGGAAAGCTGTTTCTGGGACCACCACGGCTGTATCAGGGTCTGCAGGAGTTACAGCATGATCTTTCTGTGGTGGAGGAAGTCACATTGTTGGTGGGCACCCTGCAGGGATCCTACCAGGTAAAATCCTTAATCATCCGCAACGTTGCACACCTGATCAATATCCGACTGCCAGTGAATAATTCCATTCCTAATTTCCTATTAGGGATGAGCAAAACTATATATTTTCATAGTAGAATAGTCTGAACAACTAGGGATAATTCATCCTAAAATGAAAAATTCTCACTCGCGCTTGTTATGCATATCATTTGTGAAAAACAAAAAAAGATGTGAGAAAAGAGCAACAAAATACTTTTCTCAAAAAAGTCAATTTAAAAGTAAACAGAATTTCATTTTTGGGTGAACTATCCCTTTAAGGGAGCCCTTAGGCTGCTTTAGAGATGTTTCCACCAGACACCATTCAGATGTTACTGAAGGATTGTTCAAATAGAGGCATAGTTACAAAAAAAACATTGTTTGAATCATGACATGAGAGTATATTTCATAAATAATAATTTATAGTTTCAGATTTGTATTTATAATTTCAGAATTTCATTCATTTTGTATTTAAAACATTCATTTTGTGACAATTTCTGCAAATGTTTATTTTGACTAGCTTTGCTAGTATAGGATAGGATCATTCACAGCCCTGCTTTCATTAACAAAAAATTTTATATTTAACATTTGACATTATTAAATATAAGTCCACTCTGACCAAGATCCAAGTGTTGCTGACAGCTATTTTAAATATATACGCTAAACATCTGCAACCTTTTATTGCACAAATCTTGTTCACACAAAAACTGGATTATGCATACTAACAGAAACATTGCTCACAGCAGGCGATTTGAAGTCCGACAGTAATTGTCTTGAAATGTGTTGTTGAAGACAGTGGATTTGTAACAAAAGCTCTGCTATGATGGCTGTAGCAGCGGCGCTTTCAAGGGGATGAATTTTGAGATGCAACTTCTCTGAGAGAGTTTACCGCGCTGACAGTTTAGCAGCACGCTGTCAGCATGCTAACACTCTCCACATGAACTTTCCTCTGTAAATCCATTCCTTTTAAAGCACACCTGCTAAAAATATTGAAACCAAAACAAAAAATTTGGAGAAAAGCTGGTCAACCTCACTGATCGACTAGTCAACCCATTTGTAGTCTCTGTAGTGTGCAACAGTCAACTGCATTCGTTTTCTCCATGGGGAAATTGATTCTTAACAACAATAGGTGAACAGTCTTGTACTGTTGTCTTTTTGTCCGATTTTCAGATATTTTTTTTACTTCAAATCAAAGTTTGTGATGTTGTTTCACCTCATAGCTGGTGGGTTTGGTTCATGGCTTATAATGTTTTAACAAAGCCTTTTTAAAATCCCTGTGGAAAAATGAGTGGAAAAAATACTTCTGGAACCAGTGTTGCTGAAAAACCGGGCAGGCACTAATGCACTCTATTGTGTCACTTTCTCGCTCTTTAACCTCTCCTTGCGCTAATTATGTTGCAAATGTCAAAAAGCGGGGTGCTAAGTGTGGTAACCGGTTCTTAGTCAGTCTGACAGCTGTCTCCTGTAAATGTGACTGTGTACGTGTACAGAATCTCAACACTACGGTGGGGCAGGACTGGTGCATGGCTCTTCAGAGGCTCATCCGCATCAAAGAGGATGAGATCCAGTGTGCCAACAAGTGTCGTCTACGGCTGATGATTCCTGGGAAGCCTGACAAGTGAGTGCCGACTACCCACTAATGCCAGTGGGCACAGGTTACACAAAATAGAGCTGTGCATTGAATTCCCCTCAAATGTGGGTGGATGTGACAGTTACACTGACTGAAACATATTCATCCATTTCATCACACTTGTACCAGAAGGATTTAGATTTCTTGGATTTGTCTTGGACCGGCTCAGTCCCCAGAGCCACAAGACTTTTGCTGATCTTTTGGAGGTTTAAACACAGGCTGAACAGCTTTTAAGATTCAAGCTTTTCTTAAAATCTAATGGACCATTATGGTTTAAGGCAGGGGTCTTCAACCTTTTTCAGGCCAAAGACCCCCTTGGTGGATAATGAGACCGAGCATGGACACCCGGTTACATACAGCCTTTAAAATGTTTAAAATTATTACTATTAACATTGATAATAAGTATTTTGAGCACCAAATCAGCATATTAGAGTGATTTCTGAAGAATCATGGGACACTGAAGGCTGGAGTAATGGATGATGAAAATTCAGCTTTGTCATCACAGGAATGAATTACATTTTAAAATATATTACAATAGAAAAATTATGTTAAATTACAATAATATGTCAGTTTTATAGTTTTTACTGAATTTTTATTTCAATAAATGCAGCATAAAACAAAGACTATAAACAATAAAAGCTTTTGTTGAAATCAACTCATTATTGTTTAGTGCATATTTTCCTTTTTTCAAAATAATTATTTTGAGATCAAACCGTAATTGTCAGACCCCCTGCCGTACTACTGTGGACCCCCTGTTGAAGACCCTTGCATTAAGCTGAATTGTGTTTTTTGTTGTTGCCGTGTACTTTTTTCCTTTTAGCAGGCACAAATTATTTTGACTCTTGGCACAAATAGAGCTGTACATACTCATTTTAGTCATGCGTGGAACTGAAAGAGGCTTTGTTTCACTTGAATTTTGATTGTGTTGAATCCCTCTAGGATTTTCACATTTTGTGCGTGTGTGTGTGTGTGTGTGTGTGCATACATCCCTTGACAGGTCTGGCCGTCCAGTCAGTTTCACTGTGGTCTTCAGTACGCCCAGTCCAATTAGTAAAATCTCCTGGGTCAATCGCCTGCATCTGGCCAAAATTGCCCTGAGTAAGTGTGGCATCTCTGGCTTGAGTAACATATTGTTGACATGAATCTTTCACTTATTATTTTCTTGTGTGTAAAAAGCTTTGAGTTTAAGTGACAGTATTGTGACTCTGGCTAAGCTTATTACCGTTTGTGTAGGAGATGAAAACTTGCCTGGCTGGGTGTGTGTAGAGGATGATGAAAAGACTAAGCCTCCATTCTGGTGCCCATTACTGGCCTGCCAATTGCCTGTGTTTACCCCAAAAATGCAAGATCTGAAGGTAAGTGATAGACAACCAACCAATTTGTATTTGTGTAAACTTAAGAAAGAACACTATTCAGCTACACACAGAAGTCATTTTATGTCATTTTTTATGTTTTACCAAAAACAACTGAAAAATGAAAGTTCTGTTTTCATTATAAGTGAATTGTGAGTGGTTAAATATAAGCCTGACTTGTTGTGCAGAAACATTTGTATTAAATTAGCAAAATTGAAGCATATTCACTAATAGTCTCAGACTTGTGATCCCCACTTGATGTGTTATACTTTAGCTTTTATGAAACTCTTGAAACTGACTTGTCAGTGTACCAGCAGAGGCCATTTAGTGCTGCAAAATAAATTGCCTCCTGTGGTAAATTGAGAAGTTAGTTTCATTTTTTTTCTTACGAGCTATTTGTATTTGTGGAAACTTAAGAAAGATCACTATTCAGATACAGACAGAAGTCATTTTATGTTGCTTTTTTTATGCGTTTTACAAAAACAACTCAAAAATGAAAGTTCTGTTATCATTGTAAGTGAATCGCGAGTGGTTAAATGTAAGCCTGACTTTTTGTGTTCTACCTGTAGGAAAGAAAAACTACAAATGAGATCGGGTGTGTGTTCAGTGTGTGTGTGTGTGCACTTGGATGGGTGAAATGCAGAGCACAAATTCCGAGTATGGGACACCATACTTGACCACATGTCACTTCACTTTTTTTTTTTCAGAGCAACCTCTAAGTGCAGTGTTTTTCCTAGAGCTGCAGGAAAAACTTTTCCTTTGGGTAGTCAGTGTTTGATCTCAGACAAGGCAGATTGTACTCAGATTTAGATTCAGACATTCATTGGTATGCATGTGGTAGACTATCATTCACTGCTTGCTTGGCCAAAATGCTAAGCTTTTATCTGCTCTATCAGTACTGCAAAACATGGTGGATTAGCAATTTTTCTGTCATAGTATTTGCAGTCAGACATGGTGTCTGAATCACAAACACATGTTGCCTTACATTTGCATTTAGCTTTGATCTTCTATTTTGTACAGCATTGCTGTTTTACACCTCCAGGTCGGTGTGCAGCTTCAAACATCTGGTCAGTACTTTCGATCCACAGGACTTCACAGTTTTATTCAAGACCTTCTGCTGGTCCAGTTTTGATTATATTTATTAGCAATAGTTCTGTTCTCCCATTGGATTTCATTGCGTTACTGTTATGATTTGTCATTGAATTACAGTTTTGTTGAGATTAGTATCTCATATTCATTCTCAATGAGTGGCTCGTTGAGTGTATTCAACATTGTTTTTGCAGGTTCTGTTAATTTGTCACTCAGATACTGTTATCTAGCTGGTTAACAGATGAGGTTTTGCCAAAATTGCAATAATGACTTGTGATAGTCATGAAAGCATCAGTAAGCATATGCTGTAAGCTCCAAACCATGTTGTTCAGATGTCACCATTTTCCAGGAAAAATGTGTTTATAAATGTATGGATTTACAGTTTAGCTGTATAAGTTTCAATTATAATTTTCTGTATTTTCTTTTTGTAATGAAGAAAAATGGTTGTAAACAAAACCAATAGCTCAAATGTAATATAGTCCAATATGTTTTACCAACACACATCAGTATAGTTTATGACCACGTATGTCCACAAACGTTCTGGTTCATTAGCTCTGTCTTCCTGACAACTGTGAAATGATTTTTTTTGTGTGGTCTTCCCAAATCCCTAATATTCCATAGCAAGTGTATTTCATAGGAAGCAATATGACAAATGCTTCACAACTCATTTGCTGCCGGTGTGTTCACTTCTCAAAATGTGATGCATTCACCCTTTAATGATTGCTTTCCATACCGCTATCAACTCTGGATGAGTGGCTGATGCGTCTTCTGGATGCTTTGGGTGTCGCTCTTACAGCTACAAACCTCACATGCTCATCTGATCCAGATCCTGCATCTAATGTTTTTGATGTCTCTTGTCGGTGGATGTTCTTTTTACCTGGGATGTGTAGTACTTTGAAGTCATACGGTTGCAGCCTTAGGACCCATTGTTCAGTGCTGGCAGAAGGTTTAGATTACGGACTAAATATAGTCCCTAGTATTTTGGTCTGTGATCAAATCCAACTTTCTCCCAAAAAGCTAAGGCTTCACTTTCTTTATTCCTATATTTGCATTCAGTCAGCCTGCAATTCACCAAGCGTGTATACATCTTTCCTCTTTGGTACTGAACAAACAACCGTCTTAACCTACGGAATGTGCATCTGCATTCTGTCATCATCCTTTTTGAAGTATACTCCAGTGTCAGCCTTGCCCAAAATGAGTTTGAATATGTTGCTTTACTGTAGCTCACAAGTCCCAAGAAGAAATGTCTTCATAGCTCATGTGCTCTTTGCAGTTGATTTGATTCTTTGCTTTGTTGACAAAACTTCCATGAAGTTCAATATACTTGCTTACCTGAAAATATACTTGGATTTGAAGTTTAGTAATGAAAAATTCCCATTAAAGCTGCAGTGAAACTAAAGTAGCAACAGATCTTTTCTTCCATATTGTGCAGATATCCGAGTGTAGCAGACTATTAAAAAAGAAACCAATGCAGAGCATTTTTTAGAAATATGTACGTATATATACACACACCTACAAGTCAAAAGTTTGGAATCATTAAGATTTTGAAAGACGTGCTCACCAAGGCTGCATTTATTTAATAAAAAATAAAACAGGAACTTGTAAAATTTTATTACAGTTTAAAATGACAGATGTCTATTTAAATACATTTTCAAATGTAATTTATTCCTGTGATGGTAAAGCTGAATTTCAGTGTCACATGATCCTTCAGAAATCATTCTAATATGCTTACTTCCTGCTTAAGAAGCATTACTCATTATTATCATTAATGTTGTCCTCCAAATGCACTTTTAAGACCTCCAAATGCACAATTTTAAATACAAAAATGCGTAATGTTGTAGACATGGCATCTACCATCAGACGCTAACTGGACCATGCTAACAAACCCTGACCCCTTGCTTGCACAACTTTCTCCTAGTGCATGACAGGCAAAGCTGTGAGCAAGCCAATTAAATCAATGTAGAAAAATGAAGATCCTTATTTTCCAAGAAAAGTCCAAATTGGAACAAAGTGAATCACTTGTCTTCTTCAAAAGGGAAGCTTCTAAATACTATATGAATGGAAGCATGTGTTATATTTTTGTACATACACAAATGTATGTTTGTGACAGAGTAGATCTAAAGAGGTTCCTAAATATAACTTGTGTAACTTGTGTAGGAGAAACTTTTTTGTGGGAAATGTTAGATGGTTTAAAGAGTGGGGGGAAAATACCTTCATTACTGCAGATTAAAGCGAGGCAGATCTGTGCCTGCTAGAGAAGAGGCAGGAATAGACAAGCGGATTCTTATGTGATGTGAAGTTGAGTCTGTGTGCAGGAGGAACACCCATGAGACAAATGTGGCTGTCTAAAATCGGTCTTCCCACATAACCCATCTCCACCCCATATTATCAGAATGCAAAAAATAATGAGTTTGAGAAGCATAAAGAAGGATTGAGGACACTAAAAATTGTCAGGTCATTAAGATGTCTTTCTAAAATGCTACAGTAAGATACAGCGGCGCAAAAGCCTGACACAGAACCTTGTATAAATAATTCCAGTGGGCTAATTCATGTACATATCAAATATTCTGCCTGTTTTTTCCATAGAGGGGAAAATGTGAATAAAAGCCGTGGCCCAAGTAGATTGCTTAAGATGAAAAGGGGCTCCATTCCCACTGTGCATATCCAGGAAGAGCGAGTTCGCAGCAAGTTTTGCACAGCAGAGTGCTGAGCATCAGGCTCACAGCAGGAGAGGGACAGTGGCAGCCTGCGATTCCCACGCAAGATCCTCCTCAAACACAATAAGGACCGTTTCATCTAAACAGGTCATCCTGTTACCATGAAACTGTGCTATAGGCTAATGTGTCATGACAATGTAATGGGTTCTCATTACATTACAGATAAAAGCCATCTATAGTAGTCCCCCAATTTTGTATAATGTGAATGATATTTTGGTCAACAATTTGCAACAAATAAAAAAGTAGACCTTTTTTCATAAATGGCCTGGTCATTATTTACATGTTATTAGAAGAAATGGGAACTGGAGCTTTCAAAGTTCAAAAAGCGTCATGTAGTAGTACATCAAGTACTAGTGCTGCAAATAACTTGGGGTGAGGTATTACTTTAATAGAAAACCATAAAGAAGTTAGATTTATCTGTATTTTGTCATGTCACACTTGGATTTTGACATGATGATACATTCATTATTATGCGCCATTATGTTGAAAACAAAACCCTTAAAACCTTAGTTGTATACTTCTCGTGAGCTGTAATTACAAGCTGCTGTAGTTAATCTGAAGTTACGACAGTATGTGCTGAATTGCTGTGGTAAACAGTGTACTCTTAATTAAGATTAACACAGTGTCAGCAGGGGTGGGTTTGTCACCAGACATGTGGGCCCTGATGATTAAACCTGGAATAATAGCTTGTCTGGCTTGTGCATAAATTATATGTGAATGGCAATGGGTGTTTAATAACCTTATGTCTGTGTAATTTGAGCCAAAACACCCGGCAGTCAATTAACTTAGTTTACATCTCTTTCCAAGCAAGTGTTGGCTGTGGTCACCAGCTCTTTTAGATGTGCACTAACTCAGCATGTATCAGAGCTGCCACAGCTGCCAAAACATGGACAACAAAGTGTGTAAAATTAAGAGAGTCAATGTGTGCCTTTCCCACCCTGAAATAAATCTGAAATGCAATCGCTTTTCTATGTCTTTCTGAAACCGGAAAATCAAAAGATGTGCATCATATTTTTCATGCCCCATTTAAAGCCTTCAATAAATAAAAGTGTAATTCTGTTCTCTAGTTTAGATAATCCTTTGTCCTTTGGTGTTTTGAACACGCAAAAAAAAAAAAAAGGATGTATTAAAAGTCTTGACATGAGAATGTCCCTTTAAGGCAGTTCAGTTCACTTGGCCGGCCAACCCCAGACAGCTATGTCTGTAATAGGCATCCAAGTACAGCTACTTCAATGATGAAAAAACACAGTTTGTCAGGATTATGTTTAAATGACCCTCAGTACTGGGCAAATTGTCATCTCTCATGAGCACAAGTTTAAGGTCTGTGAGTGACACTATGCCATTTTGATTAATATCAAATATTCCTGTAGTCAAGAGCAGGCTACTCTTAATGCTTGCCTTGAAATCGAGCCTCAAGACGCTTACTTTGAGGGTAAATGGAATAATATCCTGCCTTTTTGTTGATCGACTCAAAAATTTTGCTGATCACTTGTTAGTGTGCAGAATAAAACTGCAGTTGCACTAGAATGGTCCACTGTACTTATCTGCATCCCAGAGAATGTGTTGAATGTGATTCCACCATTTTCACAATGAAGATGCAGCACACAACTGTTTTTCTTAAGACCGTATGAGTCAAAAGAGTGAACTGTCATGTCACATATCAAAGCTTGAGATCAGTTCTGTAACAAAGGTTGGTTTAGGAAAGCTTGAAATGATTCTTTTATTTCAGAGTTTTACATTTCATTTCTCTGTTAAGACGGCTTCCAGCGCTAGATGCATTATGAGAGAGCATCTTAAGCCACACATAAAAGGTATCCTCCCTGTAGAAGCCCAACAGCATGTTAGGATGCTAGCCTTTGATCACTTGTGACAGCTGAGCCAACCTCTCTATTTTGCCGCAAGGAGCGCACCCTCCTTCTGCCTTCCTGATGCTTAATATCAGGATTAAATTCAGCTCTGGAAGTAGGACGTTTAGTTCAACCGGAAGATAAGATGTGGGTAGGCAAATGGACATGTCATCCTGTTTTCATTTGCAGGTCAATAGTTGTTTGCACCTATAGAAAATGCAGAATGTAAGAATGTATCTGTTGTAAAACTAAAGCAAGGTCCAGGAAGTACAAAAGGAAGTACAGGCATAGCCTGCAATTATATGGCCCATTAGTATGTAAGAAGGCAACAGTAATATTGTGAAATGTTATTACAATTTAAAATAATTATTTTTAATATATTTTAAAATTCAAAAATATCAAACCATCATTTGGTCCAACAACTATGGTTACTAATAATGTGTATGAATATATAAGATATGAATACTTGACAGCTTACCGTAACTTTTATATATATATATATATATATATATAAAATATTATAATTGCCTCTTACTGTTGTTTTCTTTTGACTTAAATTATCCATTTCCCAAACATTCTTATTGGGTTTAAGTGGATTATTTACTAATTTAAACTTTTATGGTTTTCCTTAACGGTTGGCATTCTGGACTGTGATGTAATATGCCTAGCCTTATATGTCCAAACAGACTTTCATGAGGCAGAATATAATCTGACATCGAATTATACCCACTCTAGAGCACTACAGTCTACAGTCTTGGCCTAAACTTTGATGTTTAGCTTTGATTTTTTTTTGTGTCTTTCCCCCCTAAATCTATTATTCCTAGCATTTTATTTTCATCATTATTTTGTATTTTTTTATGATTCCCAGAGTTTCGAAGTTCATCCAGACCCCATGGTTAGTGTGACCCACATGGTCCGTGCTGGAGGAGGGGTGTGGATGGCGTTTTCAGAGGGATCATCCCTACGTCTGTTTCACACAGAAACATTGGAACACCTCCAAGAGATCAACATCTCAACACCCTCTGCATATCTGAGCACTGGCAAGTCCAACATGTGAATTTGGTGCAAGATATGAATTCTGCAAGATAATGTTTTGGCACACAGGTCCTGAAAGGGGCAAAAATGTTTGCAACTGAGCAGGAGTTGGTAGAAAAATTTATAAATAAAATATAAAATAAAATTAAGTAAAAAATAATTTAATTTGAATTATCAATTTAATAATATTTTCTTCATAGGTCAAAAATCTGTGTGTGTAACCAGCCTGCTTATCTGCCAAGGACTGCTATGGGTGGGCACAGCTCAGGGCATTATTGTCACCCTGCCAGTGCCCAGACTGGAGGGCATTCCCAAAATAACAGGTGAGCCACAATTTAAACAAACAAAGCATTGCATCTAAGCCTTCTTTTTGTTACCAAACACAGACTGTCCCTCTTTCCCATCAGGCAAAGGGATGACGTCACTTAACGCTCACAACGGCCCTGTTGAATTCTTGGTTGCCACCGCCAGCATTTTATCCCAAGATTTTCTGAAGCGGGATTCTACCACGGAGGGTGTGGATTCAAGTGGTGGAAGTGAAGATAAGAAGGTGACAAATTCCTCTCTGGAGTCCCTCCAGCAGGCGGATGGCTCTCCTCAGGCCAAAGCTAAAGGAGTGCTACTGCAGTACCACCTCCGTTCTACCTCTCAGCTCCCAGGAAAGCTCCTGACGGCCCGGCCCGAAGAATCATCCGACTCGACCCAGGACTCTCTGGAGCACACCCTAGAGGACGGTTCCATCTATGAGCTAAGTGATGATCCCGAGGTTTGGGTCAGAGGGCCTGGGCCATCATCAAAGGAAGCGTCACGTAGGGAGAAAGTGACTTCAGCTGCCATTATATCCGGTGGAAAAGGGTTCCGTCGACTCGCTAAATCCTCCAACTCCCCTGACTCCAGTGAGAACACGCTCATGGTCTGGCAGCTGCCCATTACAGTTTGAGGCAGTGATGAATTCTTCTTCCTTTGGCTTTCATCAGGAGTTTTTGCAGTGATGGAGATTGTTGGATCATTGAAGGACAAACAGACTGTATGGCTTATGGCAGGGGTGGCGAACGTCGGTCCTGGAGAGCCGCAGCCCTGCAGAGTTTTGCTTCAACCCTAATCAAACACACCTGAACAAGCTAATCAAGGTCTGAAGGGTTACTAGAACGCTTCAGGCAAGTGAGTTTTAATTAGGGTTGGAGCTGTACTCTGCAGGGCTTGCGGCTCTCCAGGACTGGAGTTCGCCACCGCTGGCTTATGAGGATTATTTATTCCTCTTCTCCTCCAGAAGGTTTTTAAGGAATATTCCAGATTCAGTAAAAATTAAGCTGTGGCAAAATGTTGATTTGCCTGAAAAAAATGTCTTGGTTATTGTGAGGCCCTTACAATAGAATGAAAGGGGCCAATCTGTAAACATTAAAATAATCACTGTTTCAACAGCATAGCCACAGGACTTAAAACAATATGTGTTAACATGAGTTTAGTTTGAAAAAAATAAAACCTGCCATTACAGTGCAGCGCCGTAAACCTTATAATGAATATAAATAAGAATATAATGGATAAATGATTTAGAGCTCAAATCATACACGTTTTAACAGAAACAATTAAATCACAATTAAATTATAAGCTTCACAATTCTTCTTTTAAATCCTAAATTGGACCCATTCACTTGCATTGTAAATGCCTCAGTGTAACCAAAATTTCTGCTTTAAAAAAAAAAAAAAAAAGGAAACCAAGGGACAATTTTAAATTATTATTTTACTATTTTGGTGGTAATACCCATAATGCCACAAATGCTTTTAAGGAAGCCAGAATATTCCTTTAAGTTAATAAACAACCACGCCATTTAATGTTCATCTGTCATAATAACAGCATGTGCTTGGTATATAATGCACCACAACTGAATATAAAATAATCTCACCTTTTGAAAATATTACTAAATGATCTGCATGCGAGGAATCAGGGTAAGTGTTGTCATTTGTTTGTTTTTTTACAAAAAGTAATCCGTAGTATGTATATGAGTATTGGCTGTGACCCAGTTCTTTCTTGTTTAAACGATAAAAGATATTTTTTTTATGCAGCACCACCAAAGCGGTGTGCACAGAAAAGTAAGGTAGCTGAATATTCGGAGTCAGTCTATTTAAATGTGTTTTAATGTTATTTTAGTGTGAAATGTGATAAGGAGAAGTGAAGTCTTCGCTGTAGGTACTTGTGTCTGATGGTTCTCGTTGTTCGCAGTGTCACTTTGTTAAAAAAAAATTAAATCATATTTACAGTGATTGAAGTTTTTGCAATTTTTCCATTACTATTTCATTTAATTTAAAAGCATTTCATTTTAAACTGACTCAACATTAAATGTTATTGTGTGTGAAGACCTGCTGTAAATGAATATTGCAGAGTAATATTTTATGTTGAATCTCAGCATATTTTCAGCCTTTTATCTCTGGGCAACCACTGCCAGCTCTCACGTTAAACATATCAGCAAATGCAGTATGGTGCAGCTCAGGCAGCGGCTAATGTATGCACATTGTGACACCAGTGCTACGTGAAGAGGATGCCAAATCATGTCTCTGGCAGACGTGGAGTAAAACTGACATATCAGGATTTAAAGGAGCTGAATAACAGTCACGCATTGTTCTGGTAGTAGATGTTTTTGCTCATTTAATCTAATTTTGTGCAATTCCTGTTGTGCTGTTCAAGTAAATGACATGATGTATTTAATTCATTCTCAAATGCATCAAGTAGGCTGTTATTGAATATAAAAGCTATTATGTTTGCAGAAGAGAAACTTTGGTTTACTTTCAGAATGGTGTTTTTCTCTATGACAGTAAGTTTCTTTTGTCTTGTGATTGGTAAGGAGCCTCATTTAGTTTGAAGAGCTGTTAACTATGCTTACATCAAAGGCTTCTAATTAGAGATGTTTGATTGCTTTGTGTCTAGTGGGAAATCAAGAATCTCATTATTGCTAATTGAAGGACTTGATCAAGATAATGCCCCTCCTTTGTAAAACTTAAATAGCAGCACAATGTTCATACCTCTGACTATGGAGAATGTGCAGATAACTGTACTTAATTACAATGTGTGTTGATTTAAGATGCTCTGTTAAAAAAATCCTCTTAAATTTATGGTAAAAATAGAAACCATATAGTTTCAAGTATATTGCTAATTCATAACCATTAATTTTTTAATATAATGTTAATATATAAACCTGAACTAAACAGCATAAAATGTAACATAACACCCCTGATGTACATAACTGATAAAAATGAACTATTTAAATAAAACATTTTAATTAAAATTAAATTAAATTCTGAATGTCATACACCTTATTTTTTGACCCACAAAAATCATACTTTGTACTTATTTTTATTTTATTAATATGTATGTTTTATTTTATAGTGTGTGAGCAATTAACACGTTTTTCCTGTTGCATTTTTTACATGTATTTTATTTATACATGTAAAAAATAATGTACAAAATGCAACAGGAAAAACGTGTTATTTGCTCACACTATAAAATAAAACATACATATTAATAAAATAAAAATAAGTACAAAGAATTCAGAATTCATTATTTTCTCTTAATGTTTTTACAATGTGGGTTGTGCTTCACTGTTTTTCATTTTTCTCAACAGTGTGAATATAAGAAAAAGAAAAGAAAAGAAAAAAGAAACTGCAGAGAGAGAGAGAGAGAGAGAGAGAGATTCTCTGGAAAAATGTCTGACCTGATCCTCTGTGATCACAATACACTGGGAGTAGCCTAGTATCTAAATGTCATGGTGTACCATAGGCAATTTGCGGGTGGGACATGTCCCCAGCACTTTTTGCCAAAGTCGAATCTGTCCACAGCACTTTTTGAAAGCCGCTGAAAAAAAGCATGCAGAAGGCTTATAACGCAAAGTAAAAGTGTCTCTGATCTGTCTCCATTCATTCTTCATAATTAGCTAATTCATTCATGTAACATGAAATATATTTACGCCAGTCAGACAGGCCTGATCTATAAACCTTGTCACACACATATCAGCATTTATAAACAGTAAACGGCGTAATGTTATGAGCAAAGAGCACTCCCTTTACAATTACTGACAAGCTGTCACTAATCTTATCGCGATCCAAGTTCTGTTAAAATCAATGAATCTCTACACTAAGTAATGCATCTCTTATTTAACGTTACATCATGTTTACACTTCGCAAGTGCACAGTAGCCTACTCAGCGCGGACTAAATCAACGCATTTTGAGCAGTGAGCTGCTGAAAAAAAAACTGTTAAAAACCAGCCTAAGCTGGGAAGTGGCCAAAACCCCTCTAAATCCAGCCTGCTGACCAGCTATGACCAGCCTAGACCAGGCTGGATGACCAGCTAAAACCAGCCAACCAGCTTAGGCTGGTTTTAGCTGTTTTTTTCAGCCTTTAATGCCTTTGATTGGCCATTGCATTCATGAAATCAACAGATGTGTCTGACTGTCTATGAATGGTTACATTACTCAAGGCAAAACACCTTGGAAATAGAAACCTTTGACGCTCCAGAGCACAGACACAAATGCTGCACTGCTAGCCAAATCAGTTATGTTATTATTTATTACAGCTTCAACTGAAGACACTTACCCATATCACCTCCGTAAAACCAGGCCTGCGGGGAGGATTGCTTGGCTGTCAAAATGCTGTACTGAAGAATTATACTTTAGAAATCAGAGTCTGAGTGCAAAGAAAATATTTTTATCTTAAAGGGGTCATATGATGCGATTTCAAGCTTTCCTTTCTCTTTGGAGTGTTACAAGCTGATTGTGCAATTGTGCATTGTGCAAGCAGATAAGATCACTGAAGCATTTTCAAAACCAAAGAGATATTCTTTATCAAAGTTAAGACTCTGCCACGCCCCCCTAAAATGGCTCGTTCTAACACGCCCCCACATATCTACCTCACTATGTGGAAATATTAGCATAATGCTGCCCAAATGTGCACGCAAAGAAAGAAGGCGTGGTGTGCATGCGTGCGTGCGAGAGAGAGAGAGAGAGAGAGAGAGAGAGAGAGAGAGGTGTGTGTTTGTGTGTGTGTGTGTGCGAGCGTGGAGTCAGCTGTCTTAACCGTGGCTTGTGTACTGCAAACACATATTCATCACTGTGTCTGTCAAGAGACTCTGTTCCCCTTTCGGGCTCTGTTTTTACATTTATTTTGAAAGATGAAGCTTGCGATTATGGTAAGGGGGCGTTACATTTCCGACGAGTGCTTGCGGTGTTCGGCCAATCACAATGCACTGGGTCAGCTGGCCAATCAGAGCAGACTGCGCTTGTCAGAAGGAGGGACTTTGTAGAAAACGAAGCGTTTGAGAGAGGCGGGGCATAGAGGACCTACAATAATGTACAGTATTTGAAAAATAATGTGTTTTTTGAACATTAAAGCATGTCAACATATTCTGTTACACCAAATACACAAAATAATGCTCTTTAAAAAAGCATCATATGACCCCTTTAAAAATGATCAGCGAGGCGCAATTGATTCAGAGGATGGTTTAAACACACTGCCGGTGTTCTGACGATTTGTGCTACCCTGTCAGATTTTGCTACCTCCCATTAAAACAGATGGTAGCATAATTCGATAGCGAAAAGTGCTACCTATCAGATTTTGCTTCCAGCATGATATTAATAAGGTGTGGGAGGCTTTATTAACATGTACACCTACCACAACCCTAAACCTACCCTTACAGTAGGATAAATACAGTGTTGGTAGCATCTGATAGGTAGCATTATTTGTCAGAACACCTGGACTCGTTCCATATCTACTGTACTGTACCGCTGTCGCACATGTGTTGTGCGGCTACTGCAGGCCTACATTACGCATCCAGTCTCGAATGCATTGACCGTAAAATAAGCGAGAACTGACGTTAATTTATACATATTATAGCATATTTCCTGCTTTCTAGCTGCCTTTTCAGTGCATCCAGTATGGATTGCAATCAACGTGCAATGTATGGTTGCCATGACAAGATGCAACCCTCGTCCCGTCCCCACCACTTTTTAAGGCAAACTTACGCTGTGACGTACCCTTTATATTGTGTTTGTGTGAGTGCCCAAAACCAGAGTTCCATCTATTTGGATGGATCTAACTTTCTATAGCAGTATAGG